TTGTCTTGAGTCTGGTCAGCCATAACAGTCAAGGGTGGTTTTAGCTTTGGTCTTTTTAAGTGAGTAAGACGGGGAAACTTAGATTCCCACAGATGGCGCCACTGATCAGACCTGATCAGAGTTGGACCGTCACAGTTGGCTTTGAATTGGATTTGAAGGAGATGAGGCGGTACCTGCAAGACACTCTGATGACAAAGTGAGAGACAGAATGAGCAAGCAAGTAAGTGTATAGTTGTGAGTAAATGAATACCTGACCCTCTCGAAATAGAGGGTATTTATAGTCCCCACTGTTGGGCCAAGGTCCCTTTATTGGGTTGATCAAACAGGCCCAACAAAGGGACTTCTAGGTTCTACGTGAGTAGTGGGGACCTACACGTGGTCCCCTACCTGGATGATGCTCTCCGCAGAATAGGGAGGGTAAATACACGATCTTCCCGGGACCCTGAGGACTCCGCGAAATCCGGAGAGGTTGAAAGTCTGCCCTACGATGAGGGTACTCGAGCAGGGCTTGGATTGGGATGTTCCTCATCTGGGACGTCTCTCATCGGGGACGTTCCTCGCGGGCACCGGGGTGGCGTAGTCGCATTCGACCAGTCACCCATTATCGGGGTATGCTCAGAGGATCTAATTCTCATCATGATACATTGTGAATCTTGGATTGGGCCTCACTGGTGATTGGGCCACGGGCAGGCCCAGTCCAGAACACTTATCAAACATTTTTTTTAAAACCTTATGTTTTAAATGTAAAACTTGAATTTAGTTTAAAACTGTTATCTTCAAAGATTTATCTTTTTGTTTCTCTCTCTCTCTCACACACACCTTTTTGATTCTTACAAAGGGAGAGAAAGTAAAATGATTTTGATAATGTTTATTCTCAGAGTATTAAACTCAAACATATAAAATGTTATTGCTACTAACTGTTTGTTTGATGTTTTCTATCCAGAAACTCTAAACAAGTTCATTGAGTTTATTTCTAAGATAGGTTGAAGATGAAGATCCTAATTCTAAGGTTGAAACCCTTATGGATGAAACCAACTCTGATTTTATACAAAAGATGTTGTACACTTTATGAATATATGTATATTTAAACAGATGTACCAAACACGGTTCAGAAGTTATAAACTTACTGAAAGTAAGGTAATCTTACATGATATCATAGTGTTGAGAAGTTATTAACTTTCTGAAATTATGGAATTCATACTTAAAGCCTCATAAGTTGTGCTCTCCTGAAGGGAAGACAAGTCAACATTCTGATGCATGCTCTCATACAGAGATGCCACTCAGAATTTATGCTTTGATATGTGCGCTTCAGCAACGTACGCTCTATTCAGAAGTTGTGAAATGTCTGAATGTCTGATACATTGGGATATATTAAATCAAATGTTGATGCTTGAGAAGTATAATGTTTTGGTTGTGATACTAGAATCATGGAACAGAAGTGCTGATACATATGTGTGGCATTATTTAATCAGGCTCAAATCAAGTTTTGATTCTTCATTAAGTGCTAATAGAAACTAGGTTCTGAGATGAAGATCAGGTGTTCTGGTCAGACTCTGATGAGCTGATGTAGGGAAGTGCTACTTCTTTATTCTATGTTCTGAACGCTCAAAACTTATTTTATGAGTCTTAGACCCAGAGGGAGACTCTAAACAAGCTTAAATAAAATTTTGGATTTAACAGATTCAGGGGGAGCTGTGAGCTTAACTCTGAATTTTTTAGCTACGGTGATTACCCTGTATAAATTGTTCTATCAAAATACATGGTTTTGTCATCATCAAAAAGGGGGAAATTGTAAGAACAAGAAGTGTTTCTACATCTGACCTTGAGATTTTGATGATATACTACTGATGATTTTGTTCTAGTGTGTAGTTGCTGCTATAATATTCTGAATCTGGTACAAGGCGTGTGACATCATTAGATTCTGAACATACACTACTGGAATAAAACATGTGGTTACATGTTACAGTTGAAGTCAAGGTTCTAAATCTATCTTCTGCAACGTGTCTAAGGAACGTTAGTACAAGAGGTTCTGATTGTGACTTTATGGTTAAGCTTTGGAGGCCTTTTAAAGCTTTACTTTTGTGTTTCAAGTTCTGAAGATTATGAAGACGAGGTTCTGTTGAACAAGTTCTGATGATTTGAAGAAAATTAAGTTCTTACAACCAAGTGGTGAAGACTCTAAAGACAAGGTTCTGTGTGACAAGTTCTGAAGACTCCAAGACTTAGGTTCTAAGACTTAAAGAAAGATTCTTCTACAACAAGCTTCAACATTCAACATTCAAATATCCGAAGCCTCTGAAGATAAGAAGAAAAGTTCAAAATGGTTAACGTGTGATAGTGTACAAAAGGTACATAAAATGTTTGTAACCTTTACTCTTCTATAGTGGCGAAATGACAGTCCTTTTGTACTTGATTGTGACTACTCTCATTAAAACCATTGGGAACTAACAGTAAGATTTTAAATTTACCTTTCTACCCTTTCAACAGATCTCTTTTACAAGCTATAAAAGGAAGACTTGGAAGCTGAAGAAAAGTAAGAATCAACACTACAACGACAAATCTATCTGATTAAATCAAGCTCAACAAAACTACACAAAAGCGATGTGCAAACTCTGTAGAGAAATTATTTATGTATAGTTTTGTAAATAAGCAAGGAGTTGTTGATCGTATCTTGTAGTAGAATACTTAGGTGTTTTTTATTGTATTGAAAAGTCTATGTAACCTGCTTACAAGAAGAAAATATGTAATACAATGAAAGTACTCAACTGTTGTTGAATGATACCTTGAGAGACTGAGTGAAGGTCTGATCTCAAGAAGACTCCTGCTACGTCTTGAGTGGATTTACAATAAGGATCGATAGACTTATTAGGGGTGTTAATAAGGTTGATCAGACTTATTGTGGATTGTTCTGTAATCAGTTAGGTTATGATGGATTAAGTCTTTATTGAAGGCAAAATCATCCTTGAGAGAGTGAATTGGAATAGCTTAGTTAACAGCGAACCAGGATAATAATCACTATTTAGACATATTCATTAACAAATAAAAGTTATATATGTCTACAACCTCTCAATACATAATTCATTGTATCCCAAAATGTATAAAAGTGTTTCTCAACTCTTAGATTATAAATAAAAATCACTCAAACTCTTAAAATATAAACCCTAAGAGTTTCTTTATTTGACTATTTAGAAAATTGATCTCTTCAGCAAAAATGACAAAAAATATTATAAGTATGATACATGTTTCGAGACACTTGTTTCATGGCACCTGCCAAAAGACTTATGCTTCTTCAACATAAACTTGACCCACATATCTATTCACCTTATTTGCCTCGCGGATGAGACAAAATCCAAATACTACTAAAATGATTGCCCACCTATCTCGCGGCCCCCTACCGAATACCTCGCAAGTGAGGCAAAATCTGAATGATGATAATTTGTTGAGATTTTAAAGAAAAATCTACTTATGTGATTTAGTGTCGAAAATTGAATAGAGAAGTTGGCTTGATATTGGTAAGAAATAAACATGAGTTTGAGTTAGTTTGTAAAGTATGAATTTGAAAAGGTTCTTTAAGACTCGTATCGGAGGAATAAACATTTCAGTAGTGCTTATATAATGAGGATGGCCTCTTAAGGTGTGCCCAAAAAAATAAGCAATTTTGTTAAGGGGGGAGAATGCACCACTCAAAATCATTGTTGTTTTCAAACAGCTCAAGTCAATCAAATCGGACTTAGGTGATGTATATTTTGTGTTGACCAAGCCTCCAAGAGTTACTTCCCACAAATAAACTGAAATATCTCCTCTTTCAGTTCTATTTCATCTATGTTTTTCTTTTTCTCAAAGGGCTCTCCTCTCTCTCTCAAATCTGATTCAACATTGTTTTTCTTTTTCCCTCAAATAATGTACAAAGTCAACTCTGACTCTAATGTTTAGATATATATTTAGGCAAGTCTAAAGTACTAAAGTGAATCAACACATTTAAATAAGAATCACCATTCAGATAAATTTGGACACCAAATCTTCTCCGAAAACTTAAATACTTAATGGATTTGTTCACTTTTAAATATCTATTCTTCTATTAATGTGAAATTTTTAACTCACTTGTGACATGAACATGACAATGAATGAAAGGATTATACATTAGAGAATATTGATATTACTAATTAATGATGCTGCATTATTCTCTGCCTCCAATTTCAAGCATGTTGGCTGGTAATGTTTGAGGTGGCATTAGTGATTGAAGAAATTAAGAGTAAATATATTTTATTTTGGGTGACTTTCATTCTACTTAAGTCCAAATAAACAATCCATTGTGACTCGTTTCTTCATTTGAAACTGAGTAAGTTGCTGCTAGTTTTTACATTACTCTATGATTTGATTGGGAGTACTTCGTTATGCAATAACTTCTTCTTTTTTTTCCATGTTAAATTTTTATAAATTAAATCTTCTTAATTATTAAAAAACACAAACAAATTTGAAATCATTTCTGTTTTGCAACTTTGCAACAAAACATTTTCAACGCGAGTAACGCTTATATTTTACTCATGCACCTTATCCTAACTGTTTTGCACATGGAGAAAATATCCATGCAATATATACATTTGAGCCTGTTAATAAATATCACCATTCATTATTGTACATGGTTGAAAAGAAAAGAGAGGAAAAACTTAAAATTGAGTTCATCAACCTTTTCCTTTTAACCTGAGGGATTGCTTTCTACGACAAGGAGACAACAACAAAAGACCAGTCAAGATTGTAAACCCTTAATTTCTTCCATCTAGATGGCACGGACAATGAGGCATCGCTTGATTTTCCTTTTGCTTGTCTCTACCTGGAGTAACAGACAAGTGCCGGCGCCATAATTACGACAATGATATGCACTGGTCCAAAAAGATTGAGCACCCCAGCTCCCCCTCCAATCGATGTGCACACAGATGTTTTTACCAATAAGGGTGTGCAAATTTGGTAGGTGGTAAGATACTAAAATCAATCATAAATCTCTACAGAATATCCTTCCCAACTAATTTTTTAAGTTCTTCCTTTGCTGCTTCCATCACCACTTTAAAGTCTATCTTGGTATACCTTCCCCTGCAATCCACAATTAAAACTTCAGTTTAGCAACTTATGAATGATATAAAATATGTAGACAACCAACGTCGAATAAACATTGAACCTTCAGCAAAAATAGGAGTGGAAAAATGAAAGAATGGAAATTGCTCGCTAGAGTTTCCCCTTTTGTTACAAACTAAAACTAAAACTTTAAATAGAAAACCCGACAAAGGTTTACTTAATGATATTACCGGTGTAAGGTTTACATATCGATACTACATAAAAGCCACACAATTCATTTTATACCACCAAGTATTTAAAGACATGGAATAAAAATAAAATTCATCGTACCAGAAATGGGTTTTACCCCATATTGTATAAGGGTAGGCTGGGCTTGCAATTCCGTGCATAACCCTCGCAACAGCTCTTGGTGTAAAGCGAGCATGTGAATTGCTCTGTAGAAAAACCTGGTAATCCACAAAGGAACGGGTCATTTTCAAAGTTCCTTCTTCCAAACATAATTTGTATTGAGTTTATTTAAGATTCTCAGAATGCTTGTGACAACTCACCTTTATATCTGGCCGCAGGAAAGGACTGCATATGTAAATACCAGCTATTTTAGTACAAGATCATGGCAGCATATAGCAGAAATATATCCTTATCATCAAATAAGTAGGGTTGGAACTTGCAATAATTTTTTTTGGACATAAACTAGAAAGACAATTATATTTTCCGATTTTCAATACACGGAAGAATTTAAAATCATACAGCTTAAAGTCATTTTAGAAGTCATTGATTAAATGTATTCTTTTCTACAAAACTTGAGACAGAAATTAGTAAGAACCTGCTTTGATCAATTTTCTTGCAGAAATCAATATTATCAATTCCAGCAAAGTAGTCCAATATTATCCTTTGCAAGCATGAAGTGTGATCGGCACTACTGCAACCGTTCATCTTATCACATAGATTGACTGCAAAATATGCAGCATTAAACATCGCATCCATTTTCCGCACCTATAAAAGAAGCAGAAAGCCTTGAGAAAATAAACAATCAGTAATAACTTAACTTTACAAACACAAAATATGCAACACATAATCTAAATATCCACCCAGTAAAAGTTCCTGATTCGGGGGTCTGGACTTTATGAGTTACTGATGATTGAGAGAAATATGAGGCAACACCATAATAACTACATTTCAATCTTTGGGTTCCATTAAAGGAAAACTGTGCATAAGATACATCATCCTAAATAAATATAAATACCATAATGAATAAATTCCTGATAAATTTTTCATAAACTACTTACCTTACAACTTTCAACTTCAGATAACCATTTGGTAATATCTGCCGATAGAGACAATAAGTCTGTTGGGACTTCAAGAATCCTATAACAGTAGGCCATGTCTTTCATTTCATAAGTTATTTCTCCCTTCAACTGAGAATTTTTCACAAATAACAATATTAGATTGCACAGACCAGATCACAATTATACTGGCAGAGCTGGGCCAAATTGGCCAGGAGTCTCAAACTAGAAATCAAATAGAAATATATACTTCGAAAATAAATTAACCACAAAATTAAATTTTTAAAACCCCTTACGCACCACAAGACTTTAACTCAATGCACACAGACAAACAAACACCGCATACCTAGTTCAAAACAAAATATACAGCTTTGTTGTATTATTGATAATATGAAGCCATTACATATGATGCCAAAGATTTTCAAGACAAAGAAATGCAGAAAATTTTTATAAGATGATTACAAAAATAAAGAAATAAATCATGTTGCAAGTATTTATGGCTAAATTTAAAAGGTAAACCTACAATATTATCACTAAATTTTCTTTCAAACACATAGATCAGTAATTTTAACAGGAGTATTGTAGGCTAATCAGAGATTTGATGCAGGGGTAACAAGGGGAAGTACTTGTCCTATGAATCTAAATTAGGTAGCAACCATGAATCAATAACTTTATCCATTGTGGAAAAGCGATATTAATTGTTTGAAGTCTAAAATTTTGAACTAAAGTGTTAAACTATCTTCTGGTATGTATTATGTAAGTCAACCATGCACTTAAACAAGCTGGATATGACTTCTCTCATACTTCGTCATTGCAGAGTAGTGAATTTAATTTAAATTAGGTACAAATTTAGTTACTCGGAAGAAAAAAGACATCTCGTGCACTTTCTAAACATATTTTGCTATGTCCACATACAAGCTCAAGAAAGAAAATGCAGTTATCCACTAATCCAAACCTTTAGGTCATACAACTGATTTGTTAATTCAACTGGTGTGACCCCCATGTCATTTGCCACAGTTGGAAGATCAAAAGTATGTTGTCCGTGTCTATTTTCAGATCTGAAAACACACGACGATAGTTCAGTTAAACAATAGATGTATAAGCATAAGTAAAATTGGAACAGCCATTCTAGTGATCATAATAAGAAAGTCGTGAAAAAGCCAAGTGTCATCGGCCAGTATGCCTCCCTTTTGTAGAAATTGAACATTTGGATCAGATTCCATCTTGAGGTGGACAAAATTAAAATAACTAATAACATAACAACCATCCATTTCAGGGGAAAAAGGTTTGTACAAAAGGCTAAGAATATAATATGTTTACTATTACCTTTTCAGAATCACAGCAATAGCAGAAACCTTTTGGGCAAGGGACACAGCCGGAGTCTGCATTAGTGCCAAAAATTAAAAATATAAGCAAACGAATAATTGCTCAAACTGCATTTATCTTTCTAACTTTCAGTTAAAAATTAACAGACAAGATTGAAATGTCTCGTTTGAATCTCTTCATTATGTAGTTTATACTATAGTTAAAAATATAGTTAACATAAATAGGTTACTGAATTTATCTCATATGACATATTCTACATGCAACTGAAGGTCTGTTTGCACACACCTTGTAAAAATTCAGAACACAAGTAACATTTGTCTGTGGAAGTAAATGTAAGTACTGCACATCACCCAGCTCTAAGCGTGTCAAAACTGTGAGAATCACCTAGCAAAAGAAATATTGGAGAAAAGTTTTAACTTGTAGAACTAGTCTGAAAAAAGTAACATCTAATTATCTAGAGTTCCCTTGTAACAGAAAGTTCTGTTACTAGCATGTGTATATCTATTACCGTATTTAATGGATAAATGACTGATGCCTATAACTAGATAGTTGCCCATAAAAAATAAAATCCCAATCACCTCCTAGAAACTGCACCTTAGTTTTATTTGGCCTCAAATTAATCTTGACTTCTTGGGTTTTAAATACTTAACAAGTAGATAGATTAACCAAAAACCACATTTTTGCACAAAAAGTAAAAACAAGGATCGGTTGCGAAGTAAGAAACACTCCTAAAACTGCATTAAGTCAAAGCATGCATGCTCCACAGATAACAATGCTAATGATTATTCTCTTATGGAACCAAATACAAAATCTTCGGTGCTCCTGAGATTGCTATCATAAATTTACAGTTATCCCTCTTGACCATCAATATATCAGTATGGCCAACTCCCAACTGGATGTTACAAAAGTCTAAATTTGTAAATGAAAATCAGTCATCTGGGTTATCAAAGTATATAAATAAATGTATATAGTATATTAGTATAGAGCAGAGGACCTCTTCCTTCATGTCAAATCTGCGTGAAGCAGATTCTTTGATTAACGAACATATTTTCCCACAGGAGCTTTTGTCAGCAGGAAACACTTCAGACAGAAATTTATTCACTGCATATTCATCTACTCCTTCACTAAGGATAAAAAATTACATCAAATGAAGAACAATTTGAAAGCATGAAAAATAGAAAAAGAAGTGTGTTAGTGTCTTACCTGTACATTAGACTACGGAGTTTGAAATACATCTCATCATCATAAAATAGGTGACAGTAGGACAACCTTCCATCTCTCCCAGCACGTCCTATTTCCTACAATGGCCATTCCATTTAATAAGAAAAACATTTGATAAAACATCTCAATGTGCTACTATTAGAATTTAGAAGACATCATATACCTGTACATACTCTTCCAGACTTCCAGGTAAACTGTAATGAATTACCTAAACACAGTTATGACAATGGAGTTTCAATAGGAATTATTGTAACACACAAGACCATTCACATTTCAAAGCAAATGAGGTAGTGTGAAAAACAAAGATAAAAGTGACTACAGATTGCAGAGTGGTTCTAAGAAAAACAGCCTTACGTAAAATGTGGCTATCAGAACATTTGCATTAACAGAGACGAAGTAAAGAGCTCAGTTCTCCATTACCATTTACCCCCATTTTGCAATTTGAAATTTCTAACAATAAATAACTTTTGAGAAAAAACTCGATTGTTTCTGATACAGCTAGATAACAAAGGTCTAAAACATAGACACAGAGAAAGCGGGTCACCTTGCAACAAGAGCACAATGAGAAAAGTGGGTCATCATGCAAACTAATGCAAAAATAAAATATAATATAAGACTTACTGCTCCAACATCTCTTTTATCTAGTCCCATACCAAATGCCACAGTTGCAACAACCTTCATAAAAAAAATTGCAAGGTATGAGTTGGACTAGCAATGTTGTATTAGAAGCATTGCACCATAAAATTGATAAATTGAGTGATTAAAACAATAAAATAAATCTAACCACTCTGATCTTGTTTGAAGCAAACAACTCCTGTACGTTGCCACGTTCCTTTGCAAAAATACCACTATGATAACTCTAAATGATGATTCAAATCAATTGTCAGATTTCACATACAGTGACGTGGGTTACACTTACACAGAATGCCATGCAATGTCAAAAAGTGAAATGTGGAGCTTACCTTTGCCGAGATATTGTTATCATTCAAGTATCTGCTAATTTGATCAGTTTCAGACTGAATAAAAAAAAAAAAATCAATTATGCATATATAAATATATATGATAATATGATATCCACTGCAAAATAACATTACTTGCAAACTTAAGTAATTAGACACATACTAAACCTGAAACATAAAGAACTTAATATCTTTTACTTTGCAAACAAGGTTGTACATTTCAAATACTGTGGTTGTTGTTGTATAATGCAGATGACTATATAAACAACATAACTCTGAAATCAAGTACCAGAAAAATTGGAAAATGAAGTCCATATACACACCTGAAATTTGCAGTATACTATGATGCTTTTAACATCCGCAAAAGGAGGAGACTTTATCAGAACCAGTAGGTCTTTCATTCTATCATTGATGCATACGTTTAACAAAATCAGAGAAGGAAAGTTAAAGGGAGTACAGTCAGAAGCGGTAAAATAGAAGCATCTACTTGCCTATTTTTTATCAAAGACGCCGACAAACGCAAATTGTCCCTTAAGTGTGCATTCTGAATAAGATTTGTAAAAGGAATATCTAGGGCAGACATGATGGCATCTAAGGTTGTGGTTGTAGCAGTTGCTGTCATTGCGAGAACAGAACCTACATTAAGACTTCTATGAAGTAGTGATGCTCTAAGTCTCATGAATGAAGGTCGGAAATTGTGAGACCTGTAAAAAAATCTCAAAATCTAAATATCAACATGGAAGTAGATGCATACAAAGTGAGATCTCCAAATTAACCACATGATTTGGAAGAATTTGCTTAGACAATGCGGCACTGAAATCCCTCACCATTCAGATATACAATGTGCTTCGTCAATAACAACGAGTGAGACAGCTGACCCAGCAGAGATAGCAGACAGAAACTCCTTATTCAAAAACCGCTCGGGTGAAACAAAAAGCACCTGGATGAATTAGAATTGCTAAAATTAGCTTCAGGTAAGTAATGGTACTAACAACATTGACATAATAAATAAACCCACCATGCAAATGTGTTACGTGAGTACGACCTATAAATAAACAACAGTTTCATTAATGCAAAAGAAAATTTTAGCCAAAGTTGAAGTCAATTAACAAAATTCCCACCTTTATTGTGCCTTGCCGAAGCTGGCTGAGAGTTTCAGATGATTCTTCAAGCGTCTAATACAATAAACAAAAGATGATTTAAATGATCTATCATTAGACATAATTCACGTTAAGACATCACAGTATTGTTTGATTCACAATAAAAAACTAGAACAATGGCATACTAACTATTATCAGATAAAGTAAAATGTATGCAAAAGAGAGTGTAAAAAGGACTATAAAACACACTTGCGCACTGCTTAGGAGAGCACCAGGAATGAGTGGAGGCAATTGCTTAAGCTGATCAATCATCAAAGCTAGCAATGGACTAACAACAAGCGTAATGCCGGGCAAAATCAACGCACTCAACTGATAACACAACGACTTCCCTGCACCAGTGGGCAAAATAAGCATAGTAGACTTCCCAGCAAGAACATTCTTGATAGCCTCAAGCTGCCCCTCTCGAAAAGAATCATAACCATGAATCAATTTCAACAGCTTCATCAAATTCTCATCAGAAGCTTCACCTCTTGCTGCTAACACGGCCTCCTCCAACACTTTGCACTCAATCTCCCAACCCTTTTGCTTCTGTTGTTGCTTTGCATTCTCCAAACCCAAACCATCCTCCTCATTATCCTCCCCTTCACCTTCCAATTTGGTACGTTTACTTTTACTACTACTATTACTATAACCATTTCTTCTATACCTTTTACCACTGCCAAATTTTCCATTTTTCTTCCAGCCTTTGTTCAAAAACTTTTTCCTCTTACCACTCAAATTCAATTTCACAAAATTTCCTTCACCGGAGCCTCGTAGTACCTTCACTGTCGGTGTTGGCAAACTAGCACCAATCAAATTAGGAGGTTTCTTAGCAGCAATCAAATTGGGAAGCTTCTTAGCAGCAATCAAATTGGGAAGCTTCTTAGCAGCAATCAAATTGGGAGGTTTCTCCGCGGTGGCTTTGGGGGAGTTAAGAAGTGGTTCGGATTCGGAAGGTTCTAGATTGAGTAAGGGTTTACGAATTTTGGAGAATGAAATTGATTTGGAGAAGAAGCCAGCAGGGAGGGTTTCCATGGAGTGGGAAGATGAAGATGAAGATGAAGTTGAAGGTCCGTCGGAAGATCTTAGTCGGATTTGGAAAGGAAGGGAAGTGATGGAAGGGAGTGGGAAATTGTCCTGTTGTTGGATGAGAGTTTCGGGAGGTTTTGAAGGGGGTTTATTGGATTTTGAGGGTTTGGTTTTGGATTTGGATTTTTTGTTGGAAACTGGACGCGGTGATTTTGGTGGTAATGGTGGTGGTGGATTTGGTTGTCTTGGAGGGGTTGTGGAGACGTGAGATCCGTCGGAGTCTGAATCTGAATCAAACTGCATTTTTTTGTTGTTGGGTTGGAGAAGACGAGGAAGAACTAAAGGAAGGGGGAAGTGATGGTGTTCGTTCATCACGTTCCCGCCAAATGTTTTTTTTTCGGGTTTGAGGATTGGGCTGAATTACATGGGATTTAACATGACACCCTTTAAATTAAACATGACACTTTTTTAATTTTCATTATTTCAGAACTATCTCTGGTGAGATATAAAGAATTTTTAGACAAAATTTATGGTAGAAGTATTCAAATTTTTGGTGCTCGGAAAATTTTCAGGAGACCCTTTCAAAATTTCTGGTTAGTTTAAATTTTTAGTAGTGTATTTGAAATTTTCGGTATTTTGGAAATTTCAAATTTATCAGACAATACCAGAAAATTTAGATATATTGAAATTTTTTGTAGTTCATGTATTCAAGTTTTTTTAACGGTCATGATTTTGTCGACATCTTTGGAGAGCTCTCTGATTGCACCGCATGGTTAATATGAGGAGGTGTAAAGAATGTACCAGCAATCGAAATGTGAAACAGGACGTCGACATCATCTAATGTGACTGTCATCTCCCCAAATGGAATATGAAAGGATGATGTCTCTGGGTTTCACCTCTCAACAAAAGCATACAACAGGGAGGTGTCCAGCATGGTCAATGAGCACTCAGCGAACTCCAACAGATGAAACTCTCTAACAATACGCCTAACCTCCTCAGGCGTCTCACCCTCTAGAAAGTTCTTCAACTTCGAATCATGGAAAGCGACCTTCAGCACATGTCGCTCCTATAAGAAACAAAGAATCAAAAAAAATTATACATCAAGTTTTAAATAGTTGAAAAATTTTGCATAGAAAAATTGCAATAATAGAAAACAAACTATATACCTCGCCATGCCATATCTTGTAAGTGACATGCTCAACAAATTTTGTCAACACGGGCCTGTCTATAGGTCCTCCTGGAAAGGCTCTATCAGTGTGAATTGATGGCTCGATAGACGTACGAGGCATGGTGTCTGTATCAGCGGGGGATACCTCATCAACCTCCTTCACAATTTGCTCAACAGCCGACTCCACCGGCTCCACAACTTGTTCAGCCATCACCTCCCCCACAACTACCAAAGTCTCCTCAATAATCGGCTTCACAACAACATGTTCAGTCACAGGAGCAGACACATCCATAGGAGCATGAGGCTCCACGGGAGTAGAAACTCTAGCAGTCCGTTGTCGGGTTGCGCTGAATTGCGCCTGCTGCCCAGCCATCTGTTTCTGGTGGGAATCAGTCATAGCACGTCGTCCTACCCTAGCTCAGAAGCTTGTGCCTCAACAGCCCGGGGCCGAGCTTCCGCTCTATCAATTGTCATGCCCGCAATGGAACCGTCTTTTCCCCTGGTCCTCACTGAAACAAAGAATAAAGGGAGAAAAAATTAGGAAAAAATGAACTACCGAAAATTTTGAGATTTCCGGTATTTTTTCAACAAAAAAATTGAACTACCAAAAATTTTGAAATTTCTAGTACAGGAAGTAAACCTCCAGAAAATTTCAAATTTTTTGGTATAACATGTAACACAATAACCGGAAATTTCATAATTTCCAGTTAGGAAATACCAAAAATTTAGAAATTCCAGGTACAAAATACCAGAGATTTTACGAAAGTACTGTAAATTACTTACTATTTGGTGAAATCTCTGGTATCGCCTTAACCAGTATCTCCCTGTGAATTATAAAAATACGGTGTGATACTTGAAATTTAAAATTTTTGAAAAATATTTTGGTTGGGATAGTTTGGTATTTTCATACCCTTTAGGGGTGTCATGTACAATTGGGGGGTGTCATGTTAAATCCTCTGAGTTATGTGGTGTAAGGTGAAGTTTGGAGGTTTTAACACCTCCCAAGTTGAATCTGGCATCCCTCTATATTTTAATAATGCCAAAAATCAAATGCTTCTTGTAAAAAATGGAACAAAATGTTCGAACGAAATTTTCGGTATGTAATCAAATTTCTGGTAGTTCAATTGAAATTTCTGGTAAGTGCCAATTATTTTCGAAATTTTCAAAATGTGTCATTTTATACCTGAAATTTAGCTTAATTGTGAAATTTCTGGTAGTTTATTTACTAAAAAAATCAACGACCTGGATTTTAGCGACAGTTTTGTACGGTTGTGATTGCACCGACAGTTTTGTATGGTCTAGAATGAATCCAAATTCGTAGAAATAGGGGTAATATTTTGTTGAGAAAATATCTCAAAATGCATCTTCCTCAATTTTTTATTAAGGTGGAAGTATACTTCAACAAAGACAAACCTCCTATTGAGTTCCGGCTTCCGGATGGCATCACATCTCTTGCCAAGTTAACATCCAAGTTGAATGAGTTATTGTCTGATACCAATAACAGAAATGTGAGAAAAATTATTCTTGTGAAGATTGGATTGATACAAATGGAAGGGTGAAATACAACCTTATTGAGTTGAATACTAATGAAGATTTGGCAGTCATGTGGAGATCATTTCATCATAGGCTAACTAAGGGGTCGATCGAGTTTGATGCGCAAATTTCAAGATTCGTCGATGACATAATTAAGATGTTGAAATGTCCATAATCATCTGGTAGTGTCTAGGTTTTCATGTTTCTTTATTTTTAAGTTATGTTTGTTAGAATGTTTTAAGTTATGTCCATCTTCGAAACATGTAATCGACAAAATATTATGTAATAAAATGTATTGTGCTAAGTAGTATGAGTCACGAAATATACAAATAATACAACTATCAAATCAAATAACTAAATAGGCCTTCGTTGGCTATGTGTGCTTCCCGATATAATCCAGTAAAAATATCACCATATGGGTTTACTAAACCCATGAGGTTATCCATAATAACAACGGTCCTTTATAGGCACTCCTGGTCATTTGTGTCTGGTGGAGGTGGCGGTGGCGGCACGTCATTATCTTGTACCTCAGCCTCAAAAACCCCAGCATCAGAAGACTCGACAGCCGGTGGGATGATGCAAGGGTGTGATATAGTAAGATACACTCCAGGTAACCATCTTTACACTGTGAGTCGTGTTGAACCCCACTACTCTATCTATAATGGCATGAGCAAAACTAATGATGTTACCATAAAACCACCTATAAGTGTCAGCAGTTGGAGCATCTGGAGTTGGTCGTGGGATGCCCTGGACATACCCATGTTGTAGTAGACACCTTTGTTGTTGCAGTAAAGCCACAAGCAAAAGTAACTATTTTTTTTAATTATCTCCACATGGATTAGTGTGATATCAATGTCGTTCAACAGTTGCTAACTCTTTATGCTTTAAATTGTTAGATAGATATACAGTGTATAATTTAAACATGGACAAGTAAAAGTAAAGTTTTTGAGAGAAAGAAACTTACCAGGATTAGATTTCATTTACCACAATAATATGCATTTCTACCAATAAATTATACACAATCTAAATATTCACCAATATCATCATGTGTCGCTCACAAAAGCGTTTATTTCTAAACATCTATTGAGAGTTTAACCTTTTAATCAACAATGTCTTGCCTATTAAATGTTTTCTACCTTATTGTTTAATCAAAGATGTCTCGAGCAACTAAACAACAAGGGACGTTAAGATTCAACACTCTCTGTAAATGTTAGCCTAAATCTATGTCTAGAGTTTAGAAACTAACAGATGTTCATCTTAGTTCGAGTTTGAACTGTATATGTCTATAGCAATATGAACCCATTAAGATAAAAGGTAAAACAAAGATAACATCGATATAGATTCAATAATAGATGATAATAATGTCATGATTAATGAAAATACATACTAAATAAGTAAATTTACATTTGGTCCCAATAAAAAGGGCTTTAACTACTTATATAGCAAAATATAAAGAGAAGAGAGAAAATGAATAAACATCAACTTTGATGTCTCAACAATCAGCATGAATACATTTCCGGACCTTCAAGATACATCCTCTCTTGTTGATTTATAAGCATCTAACACTCTAAAATTAGTGTCTCACCCTAAAATATGGTGGAAACCCTAAAAAACATGATCACACCTCTCTCAAAATGGTGGATACCTAAATATCTGTTTTTACACTATATATACCAAATTTGTTCAGACAAATTCACTCGAAGCCCAAAAGCTTCGCCTAGAGAATTGTCACTTTCCACACACATCAGCCTGCACAAAACACACAGACTGGCACAAAATATTTGAATTCGCCGAGCGAATTACTCGCTACCAACTCTCCCAGCAAATAAGCACACATCTGCTTCTGGAAAGCTACTGGAATTCATCAGGTGTGGCTTGTTCTTGGCTCGCCCAACGACCTTAAAGCGAGGAATTCACTCCTTGCTCTCTCCATCTTCTCCCGACAAAATTGCCAGGATGGAAGCTCCTTGCCTTGCTTTCCTCTTTGCTTTGTGCATTTTCTTCCCTTGCTTGTGTCTTCCTCTTGCTTGGCTAGTTGCTCCTTCACCTTTGAGAATTCGTTTCATCTGAGAATCTTTTGAGATAAGGGTTTTGGCCTTCTTCAACATATCAAATCACTTTTGTGCTTTCAATGCAAGTGGTTTTGGGTTTCTTATCTTTAATGAGTGATCTTGTTGATGTTCATCAATGGGAGATTGGATTAGGGCTTTATGTCAGAGTTATCCCTTTCTATGCTTCAAGTCTTATCTTCATCTTCAAGGATTCAAAGATATTACTAAATACACACAAATCAAAGATTCTAATACACAAAAATACATAAATTAAATATTCTAATACTAAATACTAAAAATAATAAATTTTAGCAAAACTTGGGGAAAATGGTAATCGAAAACACAAAACAGGCCTGAAAAGTGTCAAGTTTTAAAGCGGAAATTTACACACATTTGGCCCTCATCAAACTCTCCCCAACTTAAAACTTTGTTTGTCCTTAAACAATAATTTCACAACTTAAAGAAACAAGAGCAACATCCAAAGCATGTCATTATCAACAAGCCAATACATGGTTCAAAACATTTAAAGTACAAGTAAAGTCACGTTTACC